CAAACAACGGTTTGCTAGGACAAGGTGGGTTAGAGGCTTGGCTTAACAATATGGGAGGCATGATAAGCAAGTGGTAGGTATCGCAGCATAGGCATAGCAAAAGAGCGAGCAACTAGCAAGCAAAGATAGAAGTGATTTCGAGGGTATGGTCATCTTGCCTGAGATCCCGCAAGGAAGAAGAACGAGTCCATGAAGAAGACAAACAGACGTAGTCGAACGAATCCTCACAACGTGACGTTATCGGAACTAACCCAAAGAAGCAACACCAGAAAGAAGCAAACAACATAGTGAACAACCAACACATAACATGGCATGATGCGCAAACAATTATGATGCATGTCCGGTTTAAATATGCATGACATGGCAAAGGGCACAAACAAAACTACAAGTTAAATGTAGCTCAATATGCAACGAGTTGCATATTGACGGAACACCACATTAATTATTTAGTTCTCTCCCGGTTAGGTACTCAACAATTTTACATGTTGGTTAACATGGCAAGAGGTGAAGCATAACAAAACTATACTATCTAAACAATTTAAATGGGGACGGATATAACAAATAACGAATCCGGTAAATCTCCATATGCCTTAGTAATTTATTGCAACAACAATTTGAACATTTTTAAATGTTGTTATCATGATGCGGATGACATGGACAAGTTTTATGCAATTTTTATTAAAGTTGACAAGAGCAAAATGAAGCATTTGTCACCGTGGTGGAAAGAAAGGGGTGCCACGGCAACGATAACGATTCTGGTAGCTCATGGAAATACCGATGCAAAAGGAAAAGTGACATGAGCGTGTCAAGTAAAATGGTGGGGTGATCCCGGTAACCGGGTTCCCACATGTCGATGACAAGGCAAAAGAGGGGCAACGTGCACCAACAATTCGGACTCGAGGCGAACAAGGGTACCTCTCATACAACATGCATTCATTCGTTCACGGGCGTCGTTCCGGCGGTTATACCTTCCAAAGGTGCATTTACGGAGTGGAACGAGTTCGTAGTGGAAGTGGTGGAAGTAGACGTTCTCGCGACGGCAGTTGTACATGCCGTAGTGGAAGTAGTGGTTCTCGTCGATGGTAGTGGTACATAACAATCATGGATGAACTTGGAGGGTCATCGGTAGGCGTTCACGTTCTTAGACGCACAAGTTTGTCCATAGATGTTCGGGGTCACAACGAGGAACTTGACGCATCGTTGAACTTGGCGTCCGAGGAATCCCGCATGGTTGTTCATGAGTCGTAGTCGAACTTGACGTATCGTTACACGGTTCTTCGGAGGCGGTAGTTGTATACGGGTCTTGACGAATCCACGGCGATGGTAGTGGTACTTCCATGTAGACAGCCGCGGAACTTGATGCATCATCCTGTGTAGTCGTACTCGATGTCCTCGGGGTTTCGGCGGTAGTCATACTCGAACCGGTACTTGGCAAATCCTGGACAGTCTTGGCGTATCCGAGCGTAGAGGTACTTTGTAGTTTTGTATAGACGAACTTGAGGTACTCCGGGGCAGAGGTCTCAACGTTGAACGATGGCCTTGGAGGTTTGTGGCCGGGGCATGAAGGAGCTGCAGGCAGGAGCAATCTGGAGATGGCAGACGACAGAGCACGTCTAGGCGGTGGAGTCAAGGCAGGAGAGGGGGTGTAGCGGAGCGGCACGGCTCGACAGAAGCAGAGGGCGGTGCCAGAGCATGGCAGCAGCCTGGCCCGAGAGACGGCTCTGACGCGGCCCTGGGCACGCACACAAAGGGAGCGCGCGAGACGGTCGGAGCAAAGGACACATGCGGGGCAGCAGTGCTGGCGACGGTCGAGGACGACACCTTCGGTCAGCGAAACACGGGCGCAGGAAAGGCGGAGTTCCTGCTCGGGGAGGCGCAAGAGATGGGCGCCGGGGTGCTCTGCTGCGGGACAGGAGGACCGGCGCGGCTCCGGGGTAGCGCGCGACAGAAGGAGCAACCTTGGCAGTGGCGCTCACCCGTGCGGCGGCGGAGACGGCAAGTGTGCGACGATGAGCTGAAGGACGGCGAAGTGGCACAACGGCAGAGGGAGGCGATGGCGGCGCGGGGAAGAAGGAAGGGCGCTGTCGAGGGAGATGAGTGAGTGAGGGAGAGGGGTGGCGCCAGAGGAGGACGGAGGGGAGAGATGCGCGAGGGGATCGGGCGCTGGCGGCGGAGGCGTCTGTTCTGGTGGTGGAGGCAAGCGA